AAAAAAATGAAAGTGATGAAATTTATGAACAATATCAAAATAGCTCAGGATTAAACAATAATCATGTGTGGTTACTAGGAAATACAGTTGTCTAAATCATTTCATATTTTTTAGGGACTTGTATAACTATGGAGTTTTGAGCGTTCAAGGGATTCAGGAACTAATTCTCACCATCAAAAATACAGAGCTACACAAACATCTGAATCATCCCATACTCAACAATGGCCATCGCTTTCTTCAAGCAAACTAATATTTTTCTTAAAATATCAATATACAAATATATCCAAATCTTTGCTAACATATGTGCTTTTGCATGTGGGTATTGCCAGCAGTAGGGTGTTCATATCCATCATATATTCCACATGCTTTAAAAGGAAAGTTGCAGAAAGTAAGTAAACTGAATTTAGATGATTGTGAGTGTTAGAAGATAAAGTCTATGTATAATTTTTTTTAATCCTCAAGACAATGAAATACAAAAAAGAAAGAGAAGTCATATAAAAAATAAATATTTGTGACAAAGTAGAATGCAGTTGATGCTTCATGCCAAAGGCAATGCTTCATTTGGTGTCAAAATTCTTGAAGAAAACATAGAATACATTTGTTATTTTGCTGTTCAGAAAAATTGCATTCCTTGTTTAAACACAACACACATACACACACACATGCGCAGACACACACACAGACACACGCACACTAACAACGTATATGGGTACATAGTCAGTGTTTGGCAGGTTGAGGATGAAAGCTCAGAATTTGAAGCCAAGATGGCCTAACAATGCAAAATACTGCCTCAAAAAAAGTTTCTGTATGAGTTTCTTTAGTAAATCTTACAATATTGTCATTCAAATCCTAACAACTAAGTGTAAATTGAATTTTTATTTAGGTATTACAAGAATTAGAGTCAAATCACTGAAATTATCGGAAGGATTAGGAACTTACCCAGGTAGTTCTCCTATATCACTCTTTTGTTTGTTCTGCATCCCCAAACTAAGTTGCATGGGTTTTTTTAAGTCACTGAGTTCCCCGCTTAGTTCTTGCATATCATTTCCAGATTATTAAAAGACAGAATATAATTTTAAAATCCTAGAGACTCAGTCATCTTTCCTGAAATCTTAGTACTCATGTGTTTATGAGGGATGTGGATAGATAGGACTTGGGCTAAATTAGAAACTTGATGGAAACAGTAAAGAACACAAAATCACTTTCTTCAAAGCACTCAAATTGATTTATATGTACATTGTCTATTTTGTTAAATTGCCAACATTAATTTTATAAAGCTGCAAGGTTTTAGTAATAAGCATTACTGAAAATATTAAAGCAAAGTTTACCATTAGGGCGAACACATATCTCATAAGGAAACTATAGGTACTTTTTAACTACTAAGTTTATTATAAGAAACAATTTCTCCAGTTACCTAGAACTTTCATTAAGTAGGCTTTTCTCTGACCCTAATAAATACTTATAATCTAAAGTACTCTAAATATCCTTAACTTGTGAGTTGCAAGTGTTTTGCCAAACATCTGTCTCCAAAAATCATATTTACATTATGATTCATAACAATAGCAAAATTACAGTTCTGACATAGCAACAAAATCATCTTATGGTTGGGGGTAACAAGAACATGAGGAACTTTCCTAAAGGATGTAAAGCACTAGAAAAGTAGAGAAGCATGATAAAACTCTAAGAAAGCTATAAGCCAATGTACATAGATTGAAATGGGTATTTTCTTAACAAGGATATGAGTATGCATTTAAGTTTTACTCAAAAGAAGACTTTGTATAATTTCCCCTGGGAGAAACTATGATAAAACTATAGATAAGTAGTTGATTGTTTCAGTCATCCTTAACTCTTACTTCCTTTCCCTCTGCAAATAATGATTGCTTCCTATGAAGGCTGTCACCGTTAAATGGAATGTTGTTCTTTAGTGTCCACTGTAAATAGGAAAATATGTGTCTTCATATACATCTCCAAGCAGGATTACCCAAA